TTCAGATAGGGAAGGGGAAACCATTGGTTTTAGGTGTATTCTTCCTAAAACTCTTGGAATATGTTAGATTGAAGAGCAATGTGAATATATTTCCTGTATATTTAGACAGGTATGTCTTCACCATGAAGCTTAACTCTGTAGTATAGGGATCAAGGCGAGACCGAGACCTGGGGTTAGGCTCATAATTGGGCAGTCTATAAAATAGAAAAGCATTACGTTAGACCTCACCTTCCTTTAGGAAGCAGGTTATTATTGACAGTTTGGTTTTATTTAAATATTCCTCTTAGTGTGGTAGAGAAGGTGTCTTATGTCACCTCACCCCAAATGACTTAAATATTTTTTCCAATTATATCAGTTAGGAACTATTTTGGCTGCAAGTAACAATAGCACCAACAAAGATTAGTTTTTAAAAACAAGAGTTTATTTTCTCACATTTTTGGAAGTACAGAGATATTATTTCTGAGACTTAAGGCTGATAACTGTAATTTTCTTGTTTTTTATCTCATGGTTGCAAGATGGCTGCAGATGCACCAGTCATTTTGTCCACATTTTAATAAAGGAGAAGGAGGAAGAGAAGGGAATAGCACCTATATTAAGAAAAATATGATTTTGCTGAAACCATGGAGAGGAAAAGTTCTTATTGACTTTTGCCAGAATTGTGTCCGATGTCCACATTAGCCTAAGGGAGTTGGGCAAACAAGCCTTGAGAATGATGGTGGGTCAGAGAGGAGTTCTGGTTGATCTAGTTTTATTTATCTCTTTACATTCTAGTCATATATTAGTGCCCCTGAGATATTCCAACACCTGTTATAGCCTGATCCTAAATCTAGCTATGAGCATGCTAACAAATATAGCTATCACTTAACCCATGGGTTTACTATATGCAATGCATTTTAAGTATATTAACTCACTTAATCCTTATAATAACTCCATGAAGTATAGTGTATGATTAATATATGTATATATATTAATTCTCACCTGAGGAATGAGGATATTTTTTCTATTGATTTTTAGAGAGAGTGAAAAGGAGGGGGGTGGGTGGAGAGAAAGAGAAGAGAAAGAGAGAAGAGAAAGAAGCATTGATGTGAAAGAGACACATCAATTGGTTGCATTCCACACACATACCAACAGGGAACAGGGATTGAAACTGCCACCCAGGTACATGCCCTTGACCAGGAATCAAACCAGCGACCCTCCAGTGTGAAGGCTGGCACTCTAACCACTGAGCAACACCAGCAAGGGCTGATTAATATTTCTGTTAGATAGGACAAGGCTCTCAAGGTCTGACCAGTTCTAAATGTTATTACTAAATGCAATTCTTGCTAAACATTAAACTATAGCATAGTATTTTGTAGATGCAGATGGAAACAGGAAGCGCTTGACAGGAACTCAACCAAATAAGTGAGACAACTGCAAAGAAGAAATCAATATGTAATTGACTAAATAGTGTATATGAGCAAAGGCTAAGCCTCCCTTTGGGAGACAGCTTTGAATATGTCTCTTTGCTGCAGGTAAATAAAACTACCTTGCAACAACCACTTTGCATTCGTATTTTATCGATTAAGAAATGGAGGCACAGAGATTCAATAGCTTGTTCTAGGTCATAGATCTTGGAAGTGGCAGAGCCTGTATTTAAACCTGGACCAGCTGGCTTCAGAGTTTTCCCTCTAAATCTCTATATTCCTTCTCTGGAATAAAAATATGTATAGCTATATGCAGATATACAAATATCTGAGGGGACTTATGAAATTAAGAAAGATTACTGTGGGGAAGACACTTGGACAACATAGAAAAGGCTTGAATTTAAATCCTGGCTCCTCTATCCCTAGGGTCAACTAAAGCTCATTGGCATCAATTCAACACCAATAGGAATCCCCAGTTTGGAATGTGTTGAAGAAGGAAACTTTGTTCAGTGCAACAGCTCAATTGTTACAGAGGAGGGCTGTGAAAACAGCAAGGCTATGGGACAGCTCCATTGTTATACAGCAGAGCTGCTGTTAGGAGGCCCTGGGGTGAGGCAGCCCTGGGCAAGGTGGTCCTGAGGTCAGGCCCCTCTCCTGCCAGACCCCTCTGCTCTTCCCTGCACTGAGTCTGGCCTGCTCTTCCCTGCACTGGCCTATCCTGCTGTGGTTCAGCAAGACATCTTTGGTGTTTTCTCTCCAGCCAAGACAATGAAGTCTGAAGTCTTTGGTGGAAAGGGAAAGTTCACTCTCAAGAGCCAGAGGGGAGCTGACTTATATAGACAGAAATCCCTACCCCTAGTCTCCAATTGGTGTGTCCTCATCTAAATGACGACTCCAAATTCTTCTAGTTTGATTGGTCCAAAAGGCACTGACCTGATTGGTTATAAAGGAGCTGCTCTGATTGGTTGGTGAGAAATCTGTTGGGGATATAGCTGCACAGCTCCCATTGGGTAGGGACAGACTCAGTCTAGGATTCCAGGAACTCCTGTTTAAGGGCTGGCTCCAATGGCAGGAACACAGTGCAGGCAGACAGTTTAGTGCAGAGGCAGGTAGTTCAGTGCTGGCTTCTCCCTGAAGTGCAGCTTGAATGAGAGGCTCCTCTGTAGAAATGGCTGTTTTTTTAAAAATGTGTGCTCAGTTAGCCACCTAGATCTCTAGTAATCATTAAAATATAATACAATTTATTCCTTAAAAGATAATTGAGGAAAATACAATAATAAAATGTATTTTTAAATGCCACTTTGAAGTTATGATAGTTAGCATGAAGTTAAAATCTAATCTTAAACCTAATGGTGTTTTTCCCAAAAATAGTTGCTCTGTAATACATTTGTATTCTGTTTTCATGTAATGTTTTCCTGGAATTGTTTCATCTTGAGAAATTAAAAAAAATACAAACAGCTGACAAAGCTTAGACTCTATTTATCCTAATATGGTGAGGTATGCAACGCCAAGTTAAAGCTCATCGAAGTGTTGGATGAGCCTGAGGATCACTATTACTAGTATGTGATGCTTCAAATATGGCAGGTCATGGTCTCTACTCCCTGTGACGAAGGAGGAAATATTTGTATCCTTAACTAAGAAAGTGAGAACTCTTCCAAATGTGCTTATCCAAAAAATGCTGTCTGTGTACTTAGCCAAAAAAGAATGGTTGATCATTGCAATTAAAGCATTCTTTAGGTGGATTGTCTCAGATGAAACCAGCGTGTTACTCAGATGCTCATGATCTGTATTTCATGTCTGTTCCCCCAGCCCTCAGCAGTTTTATGATAATGTCTTCTGAGTATACCCTTTGCCTCCTCATCCCAGTAGGATCCCTCTACCAATGCAGGTGGTGATTCAGTTCTCCCTGAACTATTCAGGGGTCTCTGTGCTGCAGGTTGATGTCCCATTTCCCTAGGTTTCTTTTGTGTGTGTGTGTATGTGTATGTGTGTGTGTGTGTGTGTGTGTGTTTAAAAATATATATATTTTATTGATTTTTTACACAGAGGAAGGGAGAGGGATAGAGAGTTAGAAACATCGGTGAGAGAGAAACATCGATCAGCAGCCTCCTGCACACCCCCTAATGGGGATGTGCCCGCAACCCAGGTACATGCCCCTGACCGATTTCGAGCCTAGGACCTTTCAGTCCGCAGGCCAACACTCTAGCCACTGAGCCAAACCAGTTAGGGCTGTTTTTTGTTTTTAATCCTCACCAGAGGATATTTTTCCATTGACTTTTCAGAGAGAGTGGAAGACAGAGAGAGACAGAGAGAGAAACATTGATGTAAAAGAGACACATCAATTGGTTGCCTTCTGCATGCGCCCCGACCAGGGCTGGAGATTGAGCCTGCAACTGAGGTATGTGCCCTTGACCAGAATCGAACCTGGGACCGTTCAGTCCACAGGCTGACACTCTATCCACTGAGCCAAACTGGCTATGGCAAGGGTTTTCCATTAAATATTATATATTCTTTCCTATCACTATCTCATTATCTCAAAAGGCAACATAAAAATTTTTTTCAATTAAAAAATTCTATTAAAGAACACATGAGATAAAATTTACCATCTTAATTATTTTAAGCTTGTATTAAGTACATTCACATTGTTGCACAACCATCTCCACCATCCAACTCCAGAACTAGTTTCATCTTGAGAAAATAAAACTTGGTACTCATTAAGCAACTACCCATCCCCTCCTCCCCCAAGCCCCTGGGAACCGCCGTTCTACTTTCTGCCTCTATGAATTTGACTACTCTAAGAATCTCATCTAAGTGGAGTTTCTAGTATTGTCTTATTGTGCTTGGCTTATTTCACTTAGCATAAAGTCTTCAAGTTTCATTAATGTTGTAGCATGGAGCAGAATTTCTTTCCTTTTTTAAAGCTGAATTGTTTGTATTAGATGCCGTATTTTGTTTATCCATTCATTCAATGACAGCCATTTGGGTTGTTTATACCTTGTGGTTTTTGCGAATAATGCTGCTATGAACATGGACATATGAAAACTGTCTTTGAGACCCTGCTTTCAATTCTTTTGTCCTTTTACCCAGAAATAGAATTGCTGGATCATATAGTAATTCTATGTTCAAAATTTTTAGGAGCCTCCATATTGTTTTCTACAACAGCTATACCGTTTTACATTCCTACCAACAATGCACAGGGGTTTCATTTTCTCCACATTCTCATCAACATTGTTGTTTTTGTTTATTTTTTGTGACAACCCTAATAGGTGTGAGCAGTCAACCTTTTACCTCCTCTGTCATCGTCTTAGATCCTTTACAGAGACAGACCGTGTATGTTTTGACTAATACAAATAACTTTCTACTTTATGAGTATGTGAAAATTTTAAAAGTGTTTTTTATGGTAAGTCCTGATGGCCACAGAGTCATTATGAATTAGAAAAGGTTTTTTAAAAAGGCCACCACTGAGTGGAGATTTTCCCCTCAAACCCTTCTCTTCCACACTGGCTCCGTTTCTTCACTGATTTTAAACCTGAATTGAATTTTGTGATTTATGACATAAAAGGAACTGATTTTAATTTACAGATATTCTTTCCTCAGAAAATCCATTCCACGCTGCCGAAGAATTAACAGGATGCTCTCCAATGAATCCCTACATTCTCCTGCATTCAGCCGCACCAACTCACAAGCCTCCGTGGACAGCGCCTCCATGGACAGCGCCTCCATGGAGGACTTCTGGAGGGAAATAGAAAGTATTAAAGAGAACAGCATGGGAGGGCAGGAAGAGCAGGCGCCAGCTGAGGTCAAGCCTGTGGATGGTAAGTGCGAGACTCCTTTTCTTGTCTGCTGACTTACTTTCTTTGTATGCTCTCTCTTGTTCTGTCAGCAGGTAAAACTCATTTCATTAGTAATTTAACAAATGAATTTATTAGAATTCAGCGTATCAGCTACCTGTTCCTCACTGCTTTGTGATTGGTTATCTGCTAGCTGTCTTAGTAATATCCAAACATTTTTTTAAATATATTTCTTTATTGATTTCAGAGAGGAAGGGTGAAGGAGAGAGATAGAAACATCAATGATGAGAGAGAATCATTGATCAGCTGCCTCCTGCACGCCCCACACTGGGGATTGTGCCTGCAACCCAGGCATGTGTCCTGACCAGGAATCAAACTGTGACCTCCTGGTTCATAGGTCGACGTTCAACCACTGAGCCACGCCGGCCAGGCAATTCCCTTTTTAATATGGTTCACCAACTAACTTACTGATGTGGTGGATTAGTACAGAATGCTACAACTTAGCTTCACCTTTGCATTTCCTGTTAAAGGACAGTTTATAAAGCAAATGAGCAATAAAAACAAGAAAGAAAATGAAGGTTTGCCTAGCTAAGAAATTGGAGCTGTGAAGCACATTGGAGACTTTGGGTCACATACCAGTGCTGCAATACTGTAAGCATGTCCAAGACTACCAGACTGATACTTGGACAGGCATTTACAAAACAGCCCAATCTGCTCTTTAGACAAACCTCATTCAGGAGTGCCTGTTTAGCGTAGTTCCCCAAATTGTATGTACAGGTGGATTTGCTGTTACAAGATGTTGTTATTCTGAATCCTTTATTATTTCTGTACCTCTAATTTACAATAGCGATTGATTCTTATTATGACTAATTTTGCATTTTTTAATTACCTTCTGAAAAATGGAAAGATTGCCTAATGTTCAGAATAAGGAGAAAGTAAGAGAACAAATAACTGTTGAACCACATATGCTGTTCACGGTTTTTTACCATTTGTCATAATGGTAAAACAATCCTCATAGCCGAGTAAAAATTTTGTTATTATTACCTCTATTTTGCCAACAACACATTGAAGCGAAAAGATATCTTAAAACCTTCCAAATCCATGTATCTAGTAAATAGTAGCATTGGGATTTGAACCTGCCTTTGAGTGATTAAAAGCCCTTTTGGATGCTGTTTAAACCCCTATTTTTCAATTATGGTTTTAGTTTAAGTATTCATATTTTTTCCTCTTTTGAATTGATAGTCCAGATATAGCTTATATTTAACTGTCTGGCCAAGAAAAAAAACCTTACTCAATCTGCCAATTAACCTTATTGTACTAGAAAATACTTTAAAATTTGACTGATTTAAAAAATACAATACAAACTTTTCATTCATTTTAATAGACCTTTTTGTATAATTTGGGGGAAAAGGACAGTCTTAATATATTGACTATTGATATTTCTTATTCACAGGTATACACAGACCTACAGATACACACCTCACCCAATCAGACAGAGAATGTGCTAACCTCCTCTTGGTCATGTTATTTTTCAGAAGGAGAACTTGAAGCAGAGTGGTTGCAAGATGTGGGTTTATCAACCCTGATCTCAGGTGATGAAGAGGAGGATGGCAAAGCCTTGCTCTCCACATTGACTCGAACCCAAGCAGCTGCGGTGAAAAAGAGATATAACACTTACACTCAAACCATGAGAAAAAAGAACAAGCAGTCTGTCAGGGACGTCAGAGACATCTTCGGGGTCAGCGAATCTCCTGTAAGTGCTGAGCATGGCTCAGAAGGTTTGGTTTGGTTGGGGGAGAAGATGAAGGAGAAACGGAAAGCATATCATCATCTAGTTTTAAAGAAAACTAAAGCAGACAGCACAGTCCAAAATTTTACAAATTTGAAGTGTAAGCTATCCCATTCCTTATCCCATTCATCAATCTCCCTCAACATTAAATGTATTCCTTTCTTCACTGAAGTTACAGAATAACGTTTTGGCAACAGAGCAAGTCTTTGTGGATGGGCTACACAGAGCCTATACTTAAATCTAAGTCCTGAATGGAAACAGGTAAAAGAGTCCTGGGAAAGTGGCCCCAGTATTATAAGCAAGTCTGGGTGGTTTGTTTTAAATGGAGGTGGAGGTGGAAGAGTAAGCAAGATAGCCTTTATGGTCAAATAAGTTAAAAAGGTAAAAAAATGGAAAGGTATGAGCATTAATTAAGTAGGAGACAGATGATTCATAAAAAGCATGAGGGAAGCATGACATGTTTCATGAGGAATGGCTGGTTGAAATTCCACCTTAACTGAGAGTTCCAAGGCCATACACACTTTTACTTCTGAGGCTGTTAATCATGTTCTCCTATTTCTATGTTTGTTTCATTGCAAACTCTGCCTTACAACTCATTCATTCATTCATTCATTGCATCATTGCAATGTTGTATTGCATCATCATTGATGCAAAAAATAGTTATTGGACACATTATCTGTGCAAAGTCCTGTGTTAGGTTCTATAAAGATGAGATTCTTATAACTTTGAGGGTAATTAGTATAAAGATAAAAGGAAACTTGATATTCTGCTGCAGTTACAAATAAATTTTTCTGGACAATTTAGTTAATCATCTGAGTTAGGTTTTTCACCTGTGTAATTATAATATCAATAATGACATAAATTAAAATTTCAAGGAGATTGGGTAGCAAGCATAGTTGAAGCCAGTTTCCGATTTGAGTTACTTTAGGTTGTCTATGTCATATCTTCCCTTAGACATATTAATCACATTGGGTAGTTGCCAGGGAAGCTCACATATACTTTATTAACCTTTGCATTTGTGCTAAGAATAGCACTATCCTGTAGAACTTGCTATAGTGATAGAAATGATCTATTTCTGTGCTGTCCAGTATGGTAGCCACATTCACAGGTGGCACTAGCATTTGAAATATGGCTGGTGTGACTAAGGAACTGAATTTTTATTTTTATGTACTTTTATTGACTAAATCTAAATAGTTACATGTGGCTGATAGCTAATGAATTGAATAGCACCGTTCTAGAATCCTATATAATAAAAGAGAAACATGTAAATTGACCATCCCTTTGCTATGCTCACCAGCCAATCGGGAGTGAATATGCAAATTAACCCAACAAAGATGGTGGGTTGATTTACATATGCAGGCACTGGGCGGAGAGCAGAAATGGGAGAGGCTGGCAGCTTGGGGGGACATGGCTTCCTCAGTCGGTCACTCCCAGCGCTGGGAGCACCAGGAATTCTGAGAATAGTAGTTTTGATGGCAGCCCCAGGACTGGAAGCAGAAGCCCAGAGCACGGGGAGCACCAGGAATGCTGGGAATCATACTTCTGGTGGCAGACGGATCTCCTAGACCAGTGGTCAGCAAACTGCGGCTCACGAGCCACAGTTTTCCGACCACTGTCCTAGACACTAGAGCAAAGTGAGCCTGAAGCAAGTTACTGTTATGGTTTGGAATGGAGGGAAAGCAAAGGTGAGAGACATAAGTAAAATCAGAGTGTCTAGGAAAAAGTAAAGGGAAGATAGCCTAAAACTTCTAGGAAATCTCCACCAATGAAGCCAAGGAAAAAAAATGCCTCTATTATTCTGTGAGCAACAAACCAAACTGGGTTGGGGGTCTCAGACAATTCATTCATATGATTGCAAAGACAGACAGAAACTCCAGGATTGGAGAGGGCTCCCAGATTGGAGAAGGTGCAGGTCAGGCTGAGGGACCCCCCCCCCCACCCACTCTCCCCACTTCCCCACCCCCACAATCCCCGTGCACAAATCTTCGTGCACCGGGCCCCTAGTCTTCTATATAATGATATGCCTTGAAGTAAGTGTGTTTTGAGTTCTGTGATGTTTGAATTTTCATACTACCTGAAACCTATATCATCCCGGATAGTGAGATTTTCTACAGCTATAATTAAATAGATAAAGGTGATGCCCACTATTTAAGGCAAGGGCTCCAGCCACAGGTTCCCAGCCAAGATGTCTATCCGGGAAAAGGTTTAAACACTGCTGGTTTAAATTCCCTGGATCATTTTCCAGTTATCTCCCAGATCATCAGGAGAGAGTCCTGAGAATTGGGGTACATGCTTTCCTTTCCACTTCTATTTCCAGCTACCTCAGACAAAGGTTGTTGCTCTTCCCTATAAAAGTACAAAATAGCAAAGGGTCTGTAGGCTTCCTCCCAAATCCTCCAGTTACTCAAGAAAATGCACAGCTGGCCTCTTTAGGGTTCCTAAAACTTTGGACACATAGTAACAGGATCAGGGAGGGAAACAGAGCTTTTGGGGCTCCTTCCTCTTCTTTCACTTAGATCCTGAAGGGAAACATAAAATAGGCACTTCCCCATTAGGGCTTTAGGTATCAAAATAAATGAGTCTTTTCTTTTTCCCTCATGTACAGGTGCATACACTGTTTGGTGTTCTCAACTCCAGAGAGGGCCTAAGACAGTTCCTCTGTGATGGTGGAGGTGGCCAGGGAGGGGTGGCTCTTCCTCCTGTCCTCTTCCTCTTCCCCCTTCCGGTCCTGCTGCAGAAGCCCCAGCCCTAGGTGAACTGAGAATGGGGATGGGGCAGGAGGTGTGGTCGCAGGTAAAAGAAAGGCCAGGTTCTCAAGAAGCAGAGGTCTTGTGCTATCCTGGCAAATGGGCCTCAAAGTCAGTGAAAGCCCAGCATCGTATATGCTGCTTACAAATTCAGTTGTTCTTCGTCAAATTGTAAGCAGCAATATTTTTAAAAATACATACATTTACAATATATAAAGCCTAATGATCATCTTCACAGATTTTCCCCCTCAGCATCTCTTTCTCCAAGTGAAGAGATGTGCAAGTTTTTTAGGAATGCACCTAAATTTTTCAGTTTCCTATTTGATTTGGCAGCATAAATACCAATTCCTTCCCCTCCTTCTTTTTTTCAAAGTATCTGCCCTGATCTATCTTTTTGTGTGTCCTCCTCTCCTCTTCCTCCTCCTTCTCCTTCTCCTTCTCCTCTATCCCTCTCTCCCTCTCATATTCTCTACTACTCTTTATTCTTTTTTCTGGCATCTTTTATCTACATTAATAGATTACCTAAAATTCTCCATTTCACTTTCTTAATGAAACTTTAACATAATTTTCATAGGGTAATTTTGCACTAATCTTAGGCATATGAATTTGACCTAACAAACTTACCTAATGTAGGTATAAACTCAATGATTTGACAGATAGATACGTAGATTATACTAGTTCTCTTCATTTTTTGCACATAGAAGCATATGCTCAAAATAATTTTTCTTCAGAATTTTGAAGATATTTGTCCAATATCTTCTCTCCTGCACCATTGCAGCAATGTCTATCTATATCAATCTCATTTCTTTATATGCAGATGTGGAAGCTTTTTAAATTTTATTTTTTATCATTAGAACCTTGAACTTCTACCTGTTTCACCTTTTGAAAAATTCATCCTGGTCACTACTAACTGAGCTCTTGCAATCTGAGGGCTCGTTCATTCTTCAAGTTTTACATATTTTCTTCTAACATTTAAAACAAGTATTGATTCCGTTCATTTTCTAAGTTATCTCCTTTTGGAATTCTGTTAGATGATTGCCGTATTGCTTGGATTGAACCTCTGTTTCTCTTAAATGTTCTCATATATTCCAAGCTTTGTTTGTGTGTATGTTTGATCTGCCTTTTTTGATATCCCTTCAACCTCATTTTTCATGTTAGTAATTTTCCATGGTTGTATGCATACTTCTGCCTTTCATTTATTTAAAAAGATTTAACAGTCATTTTGTTAGTTTATCATAGGCTCTCCTTACCCTTGACTTCCCTAGGGGCTGAGGATCAAACCTGCAACCCAGCCATGCCCATGACCGGGAATCGAACCTTTGACCATTTGCTGTGCAGGCTGTCGCTCTATCCACTGAGCCAGGGCTATTTTCATTCTTAATATGTGCTTTTTTTCCGGATCAGCATTCACCTTCTGCACATTTTCCTCCTGTGGAAGTTTTGTAGATTTTTAAAAGCTTCCTGTATCTTTTTTCAAGCTGAGGTTTTCCTCTATTCTTATCAAACCATTCTTGCTTGCCTTTTATCTTCCAGGAACATTCAGCAGTTCTCTTCCACTAATGGAAATGTTTAGTGGTTTCTAGATCTACTCTTTGAAAAAGGTATCTCTTTTAACACTTTGAGTGATTTGCAGGGAGACCCGAAAGTGGTATATATAATTCGCTATCTTGATCCAACTCCCCTGTGCTAATTCTTCAGTAGGATTTGTTTCTTTCAAACAGTATTTTTCCTTATTGTAAAAGCAATATTAATCTTTACTAGAAGCTTAGAAAATATAGACAAGCAAGGTAAATTATGACTATTTCTATGGATCCAACTAAAATTTTATTATTTCATTAAATATACAATAAATTTCATTTTCAATGGAGTGCTGACCATAAAGGAATAGAATATTTAACCCTTGTTTTGGTACAGCCATTATATACTAAATCACAAATACTAAGTCAACCTTTGGATACATAACACAAGGTCTACAGTCTTATTCATCACAAACAGAATTCTAGTGCCTAGATACATTTTTATAATATTCAGGAGATGTGAACCAAATATTTCTTTCAGTAACATTTAATTGAGAAAAATAGTCAGTCTAATTTATTCCCACTTTCATAATTGATAAACAACTGTTAAAGGTGATACTGACTTATAATTGACTATATAAATGTGGTCATACATTCTGTTCTAAATAACGTCTATACATATACACATTTGATTGCATGT